GGGAACACAGCAGCGTGGGGCTGCTTCTCAGGAGCTGTGGTAGAACAAACATGGTCAGCTCACCTTTTATTTTTTCACCAGTAGCATTAATGGCTTTATCAAGGGTACAGTGACAGTAACGGTTACCACTGCATTCTCTAGGTTTGGTATGAAATGGGCATTACACAGTAATAGCTGTAAAAGGCTTTTTATTAACTCATTATGGGATGTGGAATGCATAAAAAGCAAGAAATTATGTGCCAAATTTTTCTTGGCACTTACAAAGGCCAGGCTTATGTTAAGGTACTCCCAACAGCCCATGGCTGCATTGCTAATGGGCGGATGCTTTACTGAATGTATCAATTCACATGTAACTGCTGACATTTCTGCTCTCTGCAGAGTAAAGCATGAGGCTGCTCGTTGCAGATAAGGTATAGAAACAGGCATTTCAGGAGAGAGCTATAGCAAACCACGGCTTCCAGCTCAGCACAGTCACAGGGACATTCATGGCTTTACAAGCGGGAAAGCTCTGTGCCCCAGGACTGTCTGACACGAAAATGATTCACGGTGTATCTCCTCCCCTTTAATTCAGGACAATAAAAAGCAAAATGTACACATAAGTACCCATGAGAAACTTCTCTCTCCCAGGACAGTAAACTTTAAAAAACACTAAGCTTTACCATCTAGGAGAAGGAGACTGCTCACGCTGCTTTTTCCTCTGATTTAACAGGCGGGAGTTTGTTGATTCTCTTACAGTTGGTTTTGAGACTTTTTTTTTTTTAGTTAACAAAATTGCTCCCAATTTTAGCACTTTAAAAAGTCTGGCTTTAGAATTGTCTGTCCTTTGTTCTGGCATCCCGGAACGCGAGTTCCACTGCACAACTGTCTGTGCTGTGGTCTCTCTTTTCACCTAGAAGTAAAGCTCCTCAGTTGACTTTTTATCATTATGACGACTACTAAACCAAGCTGATGGCCGACTCGAGCGGTTTCAGAGGGTTAGAAATTGAGGTCACCCATGTGCAAAGTGGGCGCCGTGTACTGCCGTGGTAGGGCTCAGGAAAGCCTGGGACAGCGTAGGTGCTTTTGCCCAGTAACAGTTTTCTCCTGATCTGGCCTGCGTGCCGGGAGCTGACTTCAGGCATCACGGAGGCGGGGGTGACGATGATAAAACCATTATCGTTTTTTTTTCTTCTGGTAGCTCTGCTCCAGCTTGTAGCTTTTTCCAGCTCTTTCAAAGGTTTCCATGTTCTTTGCGGGATTAAGAGTGGGTTTATGTTCGGTAAAGGGATTTAAAATGAACGCTGTCAGCTCCCTCCGCACTAACGGACAGATACACACGCTTACTTAGTGGAAAATATTTCCATCATAGCGGTATGCAAAACTGTGTCAAACAGGGCGGTGTGCCACCCGCCCGGCTCCCCTGCAGAAGAGTCAGACGTTTTACAAACAAGGCGCGTGGACAGTATTACATCTTTAGTTAATTATCGTACCAGTCCAGGAAAAGCAAGGAGAATGAACACATCACAAGGAAGAAGAGGATCCACACTCGAAATCCAGCATTGTTTTTGATGGCCTGTGAGGGAAAGGATACGGCCATTACCATCCCCGGTGAGCACCCGGGCGGATTCCAACAGCGGCAGCCCACGGTGGCTGTTGGTGGCTTCCCTCTTCCCACCCACAGGAGGAAGAACAGAACTTGCCGTTAATCTCAGATGAACAGAAGCCAGGTTGGTGAGATCCCTGCAGATTTATCACACTAAAGTTTCTCTCAAAATCTCAGAATGGATCATTTAAAAAAAAAAAAAACAAACAACCAAACCCAACAAAAAACCAGCAAGATCCCACACAGCAGAAACAGACCCAGAAGTTAAGAACCACATCAAATGCTGCGTGCTCACAGGTTAGTTCTGAGTTCCACAAGGGAAACTCTGCGATTAGAAAGGAGCAGGCCCTCATCATTCCAATAAACAGCTTCCACCTAAAAATAAAAAACCAAACCCAAACCTGACAACTCTTTCTGGAGGTTGATTTACCGCCAGCAATCGGGTATTTCAGTCTCAAAACAAGGCAAGCAAGGACAAGTATTTTTCTTGGATTCTTCTTCCCAAAATGGAGACTGACATAGAGCAGGGGACCTGTTTTTCTCCCTCATTGTTCAGATTTACACATGGAATAGATTTATATTTTTTTTTTAATGCAATAACAAGCAAGTGACAAAGTTTCGCATTTATCACCTTCTTCTACTGTTCCTCAGTGTGGTTTAGGAAACTCAGTTCTAGCTACAAATGTGAAAAATGAAGCAACACTGGCTTCAGTTCATGCCGCGGTGTTGAATTCCTGCAGCCCCCAAGAGGCAGGGCAACTGCGTGCTAAACACTAGCAAAGCTCTTGATTGCAGCCTTTAAAAGCCCCAAACCCCTTCCCCACCACGCGCCTGCCACCACGCCTGCTGGACAGCTGCTGACAGGAGCGCTCCGGATACCCTGCTCTGCTCGGAGAAATGCGGAATTAAGTCCCAAATCGGGAATTCCAAGTCCCTTTGTCACGCTTGCTAAGGCACATTTGATGCACTTTTTGGGAGAGCTGAGCAGCAGAGAACTCATCCTGGAGCTATGCAGTCTGTGGGCTTTAGGGAGGGAAGGGGAAAAAACCCCAAACCACCGAGCCATTTACTCAGTGGCCTAACTAAGGAACTCTTGTTTTTACTGACATCTCGATTCCTGACAGAAAACATCATTTCATTCTAAATAGCGAGACAGCGGGCCAGCTTTGTTTACTAGGAGCACGGGGGATGCATGGCAGGGAGACTCCTCTAACGCTCATCAGCAATTCCAGCACCGTCTTTCATTCACAGGCTGCAATTTCTTTTCCCAACCCCTCCCTCCCCCCTTTTTTTTTTTTTTAAAACCAAACCTCACAGCCACCCAAACACACGACAGGTGACCCTCGTGTTTAAAAACCAGGTGAGGCCGAGTAGGTCTCTGCAGACCTCTGCAGCCCTTCAAGTCCCGGGTGGCGAGGCAGGCAGCGCGAGCTACCGAGAACCGTGGCTGGCTTGTACAGCTTCTCCAAAACCGCGTCCCGACACCCCAGCATGTGCCGCGCCCCTGCCGTGAGCAAGCTCGTGCACTCTTTAAAGCAGCTTGGGCAAACCTGAAAGTTCAAGAGAAACGAGCGACTGTAAAACGCAGCCTAAGCGACGTTACCTCTCTTATGTCTTCGTTGCCTTCTTTGATATTCTCTGTTGCACCCACAACTAACTGATGGATATTGTCAATATCTGTTTCCTGTTAAAAAAAATAAAATTGAGAAACAGTGATGAGTTTTAGGAAAAAAAACACTTCCCAGGACCTGGGAACAAGCAGAACTCAAATATAAAATCCGGTATTCTTCCCGTCTTAGCTGCAATGACGCAAAGGTACAGAGGCGAGTAAGTTGTAACTTCTTCACCTGTGATTTTATGAGCCCGAAGAGCAGCCACCAGGATCACCGGGAAGTCTCCCGTTTGCACAGAATGAAACCTAACCTGCCTTGATTCCTGCCAGCTCTTTTGGGAGAGGTGCCCCCGTTCACAGTGAAGATGCTGTGGAATAGCACATTTAAGGGGACACTACTTCTGAGGCAGAGGGACCATTCTAACACATACGTTGCGTTTTCCATTCCCAGTATGTACTAATGAGTAACAACAGTAACTATCCTGATTTTGCATTTGAAAAACAAAGAAAAATCTTTTCCTTCACATTTGCATCAAAGATTCATTAATCTTCAGTTTGTCTTGCATGCAACCAAGCCCAAAACACCCCCGAGAAACTCTGAGCTGAGGGTGCTGCTGTAGCATTAGATCACACTGACCTGTTGCAAGACTTTTTCAGTGAATATCTCTTGTAATCGGGAGATTTCCACCACTTTTCCTTCGATTTGTCTTGGCAAAGAACAGAAATATTCCATTAGAAACTCGTGCAAACATCCCTTGCTCCTGCAGACTCAGACCCTCCACGCCGGCAGGCGGGCCGGCACGGCTGCTTGGCTTGGCAGCAATATCCGGGGATCCGTGCCCCGGCTGTTCCTGGCTGGAGCACCCGGCCCGCGGGGAAGCTCTGGGAAAGGCAGCACCCAGAAATCCTCAGACAGCGGCCTCCAGGGCCAGAGCAAGGTTTGGGGTACCCAGCCAGGTTTTCCCACTCGGCAAGCGGGGAGCAAGCGGCACCGCCGCGCTGCCAGAGGGGGGGTCTCTGCGGGGGGGTCAGTGACTGTGCCTGCCCTGCTGCTGCCAGCACCCGCCGCGGACACGGCGAGGTGAATGGGAAACCCGATCTTTTAAAACTTAGACTTAAGTCAGGTAGACCATAACCTTCCAAATTTAACTGGTGCTGGTTTGGGTAGTTTGTACGTCGCTCAGAACCATTCCTTAACACTGTGCGACAGCCCAGCGTGGAAGCTGGTAGAGTTTGCTCCCTGGGCGCTCCTGTTCGGCCCCTCCTCCCCCCACCGCCACCGCGCACGCGGCCGCCTGCCCTGGCTCGGTGCGGGGCACGGGGGCCCAGCCCCCACAGCAGCCTGTGGCAAGTAAGAGAAAATTGTACCTGACTTCATCGAAGAGATTATTCATTTCCCCGACAAGTCGCTGGTTCTCCTGTTCAAACTGGAAGAAGGGAGAAGGCACACGTGAGTTCACACCCTGGGACCCAGGGAACTTTTTCTTCGACCCCCCCAGCCAAGCGCCCCCTCCCCTGCAATCCATTCACGGCGCAACACACCTGAAACCGTCTTCAGGAATCACTAACACCGGCCTGAGCAGCAACGCGAACCCGCTGGCTTGGGACCAGTCACTGTAACACTGGTCCTGCTCCTCACACGGGTGAGGCAGCCCCCAAAATAACTTGAGGATTTTGCTCAAGTGACTTTGCAGTAAAGGAACAACAGAGTGGGGGGAATCTGCCCCTTTTTGTTATTTTAGAAATTTGAGTGGGGAAAGCTCTCATGCCTGTGAAAGCACGTGGTTCTCTTCATGGCATCCTTGCAGTGTCACTCGCATTATTCACATGCTGCCCATGGCATGAAATTAAGAACTTTTAGATTTTGCTACAATATGAAATATTTTGACATCCAGCACTTCATACTTTACAAATGCATTGGCTTTAAGTCCCTCCAGCAGACCGCTTCCATGTAAAACTCTTGAGCAATCAATGAAACACTTAAATACACTTTTAGCACTACACCTTTCAAAATACAAGCATAAATGGAATACTTCATACAGGAAAAGCAGCTTTGACTTTTCAGATGTACTTGACTGTCAGATCATTTGGGATTCATTACAGAACAAGCAATCCTGCAGCAAGCACAACGACACGATTTGCCGAAACAAAACCTGCACAGCCAAAACAAAAGCTGAGAAAGGCGTCCCATGTCGCAGCGGAGCTCTTTGGAAGCTGCACTGGAAGGACTGGGCTTTAGAAAGGACCCGTTAGGACAGACGGGGCTGGGATTTTCAGGGTGCCTGAGGGCTGACAGGCTCCTGCCATGGGGGACAGCAGAGCATGGGGCAAGGGAAGGGTCACGAGTCCCACTCTGGGGGAAGGGGGGGAAGCGAATTCAGGTACCCTGCCTGTTAATTCTACACAGCCAAAGCCTTGGGAACAGCCGGGCCTTCGCGGTACGGACACAACTGACCAGATCTCTGCGCTTTCCTCACAAAGCTGGGCGAGACCCGGTCTACACGGGCGTGCAGAAACAGCACCGGGGGGCACACATTTCCACTGAAAGCGTTACCTGCTGCGAGCCTCTGACAAACCCCAGCGATGCACGCAGCAGCGTGAACACCAGAGAACAGGATTCAGAATGCAAAGAATTTGACGCGGGGGGCCTGTTCTAGTTCAGTCAGTCGCCTTATTTTGAACTAGCCTACACAGACCGGGATTTTGGCATAAGTCAATCAGGTTACCATTTCATTAGCAGTGAAGGCCCAGCAGTCCTCTCGGCCACCTTACAAGGTCTCGTCGCCCTTTTCAGGGCAGAGCAGTGTGCTGTCAAAGATGGAAACGCCAGCAGAGCCACACTGCTTACAGGCCAGGCTTGGTTTTCAGTTGGTGCAATAGGAATTGCTCGCTACCTGAGCATATGCCCAACGCTCAAGCTTGCCAGAAAAGGAGGCATTGCCCAAAGATGATGATAGCTGTTTTCAAATACTTACTATCATGTGCAAAAAGCCAAAGGAGGAAGGAGGGGGAAGAAGTCTGAGTCACAGCAAATTGTGATAACGGCGAGGGTTGTGCTACACCAGCGGAAGGCAAACGGGCACTTTGCTTTTCCGGCGGCGCTACTGAAATAGCTGGAAGCGAAGCACTCGGCACTGCAGTACATACATACTGCTTAAACAGCAACGCAGTTCATCATTAAGATGCAACATGAGAGTTAGTGGCCACAGAACAACGTACGGTTCGTGGCCCACAGCTCCTTTCACAGAGCCAGTCTGCGGGAGTACATAAATTTAACATCACCGTACTGCTCCGTTCAGTGACAATCTTTGGCTGACCACTGTGACCCCCCTGCCCCAACCTGCCCCCAGCGTCTCTATCCCAAGCCTTTTAAGATCTTCCTTGTGCAGCTCCTCATGTACATTGCTTCAGATGCTGACGCACGCATCCCTTGAAATGATCCAGCTGAAACTTCTGCCGTATCAAGTACTTCTGTGACACCAACACAGAAGACATGAAGTGTGTACAGTAACTACTCAGGGCAACGTGGGAAAGCTCTAGCGCCGCACTGAGGAATTTGTCCTGCTCCTCCCTCACCCCATGTACGCAGCCCTAAGCAAGCGCTGTCGCTCATCCGATTGTCCAGTATGACGTTTTTGCTCACTAACCACTTTTTCCTCCTGAGTTTTCTGGTAGATCAGTAAGCTGAATCCCACCACAGGACCAGATGATAGGGCTGGCTTATGGGAGAGCGGATAGCAGGGGCGGAGCGAGACTTCTGCACTGCCACAGAGCAACACAGAAAAGCAAGGGAACGAGGGAAGGCAAGCCACCCTTCACACCCTCCACCTTCATTGCCGCCTCCTCACACCCCATGCCGTCGCCAATGCCCTCACATTTTGTGCTGTAACATTTTTCATCTTGCATCAGGCCCATCAGGACCTCAAAGGTACCCGACTCTCTGCCAACTGCAAATTAAATGTCAGCCTGCATGACTTAGGGGGAAAGGGTTACTGTGTTAAAACCCAGAAATGTGCAGGTTTAATTTGGCAGAAGCGAGTGTGACATGACAGGTATGTTTAAAGAAGGGTAACAGTGGATCTCAGAAAAAGGTTCAGTCTTCTGACATAGGCAATTTATGCCATGAAGAATAATGAAAAGTGATTTTTATTTCTTTTAAAATACAGATTTCTTTTTGTACTAGAGGTTCACTATCTACCCAATTGGCAAGAACAGCTTTCTCTCCTTGGTTAAAGGACTCCAGAGGGCCCAAGGTGACAGATGAGGAGGAGGGCTGTTGGGCATCATTGCCTTCACTGTGGGGTAGAGGCCTCGGGGAAGGAGCCCAGCCCCGCGGGTCGAGGGGGAACAGAGGGGAACATACTGCACAGCTCCCTGCAGTCCCACCGATTCCCACCCTAAAGATCCAGTGGTTTTGTTAAATAAAAAAAAACCAGTGTTGCAACTCATTCAAATGTCGTAGTCACCGCTGTCCACAGCGTCTCCTCGTACAGAGCAGAGCATTTGTTAAGACGCAGCCAATACAGTGATATTTACTTCACAGCAGTGGATGGTTGAAGGGGTTCATCACTGTACTCCTTCACGTTCACACCACTGCGTGCCTCTGGCTTTAGTGGAGTCGCCTCAGAAGAAAGCCAATGAAACAGAGCCATGGGATTCAGCACCGTGTCGACTGGTCGGTCCTTCAGTGCGTAATTGGGGCCAGCACGCGGTAATTGTTTTTCCGACTTCTCTAAGGATAAGTATTTCTGCACAAATATTCAACACCAAAAATTCCCTGGTTTGCTGCCTTAGTAAAACTGAGATGACAACTCATTTAGAAGGCAAATTTTCAATAAAGAAAGAGTGAGTGATTTTAATCCCTTACAAATAGCACAAATCCACTTGAGAAACTATTCTTTAAGAAGTTCCTTTGATATTTAAAACCCGCCACTGGCAGGGATTGCCTTTTAAACTGCTAAATGATTTTTGCAATTTGAAATCATGGCTGATGGCCCGCTCGGCACAGACAGCGGTAAGACATGCTAAAACAGTCATTGAACAAGAGGTTAGAGCGCAGAACACATCGTGTACCAGCGTGCCGCAAAGGGATTTCCATGATGGGAACGTAAACCAAAGCAGCGATCAGTATAGCCCAATGATTTACGGCTTATTAAAGTAGCCTCCTTTATGAGACTGAAATACTCCGTTGCTGAAGCGTGGCACAAAGTGACAAACTGTTTTAAGATACATCTGAAAATCTAAGGCATGGACAAAATAATCACTGTTCTTTTTTGTTATCCCATGCGATAAGTCACTATATGTATTGTACCTAAATTTAAGACAAAAACAAACGAAAAAAGATGAAGTCAGGGAAAATTGGATATTTTCACAACTCCCAGAGCAGAGCCAGATTTTTTTTCCCCACTCAATGCAACGACAAGACATCTGCTCACAGTAACTATAAAAACCATTAGTATACCTGTACTCAGGGTTATAAACTGAAATTTATTGTGCAAATCATACAACAGCCTGCAACCACTTTGAACAATGTAAAGCTCTCCTGCGGGTAAAATACTGATAGAAACTGCTGCTGTTGCCGTACGATCGGGCTTTAATTCATTATTTTACCCACAAGAAGGATCACGGAACCATGACTGAGAGTTGTTAAGTCTGATTTGACACAACACATTCCAGTTTAAAACCAGCACAGCAGTTTCTACACTGACCTACCCTCTTCTGAGAGCTGCTGGATTTTCTGAGTAACTTAAATGCAGCTGGTCCACGCTTCACAAATCCCCTGTTCAAAATAGAAATTAACTTCTCTGTAACAGCAAACATAATGCAGAAGAGAAGTAAGTAACTGTCCTTTGAGTGAATAAATTAACTAAAAGCTGTGAGGGTTTGTTATGTGTTTGTAAAGACCCATTGATTCCTGTGTTAAAAGCACAGTCATTCAGTATTGCCAAGTTAGTATGAAGGAGTTATGTGAACAATGAAAAACACACCAATGCACATTCGAATACTCAAATTACTTCCTAGTTACACCTATATTTACACCTTGGACCCAAATTTACCTGAAAATTAGCGTAATGGATCCAGTGACTTTACAATATTCCTATTGGAATAATGGATCCAGTTAGGAGTGGAATTATACGGTACCCAACCTTTACCAATAAAGGCCAACTCCTAGCTCTAAGATTCCTCAAAAAAGCACTGCAAGAGCAGTTTCGCTGTGGAGTAGTCACCACATACACCCCTAGCCTTTGTAAATTAGCTAATACTGTTCATAAGATGGGAAAAAACCCAAACCCTTGGTCCACAGAACAGAGCGATGGCTTGCTCAGCTCTAAGGATCGACACACCAGTGGCAACGTTTACGTGTGAAACCCTGCTGTGCACGTACACGTATTACACAAATATAGAACGCTTGTTTACAGTTTGACAACTCCAATAACATGCAATCCAACCCAACGCTAAAAAGTGACAAGAAGTGACCCTCATTGAAGGGGGCATTAACTATAACTAGAAGCAATCCGCTCACTTTCTACTTGACAAATGGTGGAGGAAGAAAATGTCTGTATTAACACTGCCATGAATGCCGACTCACTTTTCTTTCAAATCATAATAGACTCCTTCCAAGGCATAACGTGGAAGTAACTGACGCTTGTTAATTCTGAGGAGAGGTAGAAAGCAAGCCTGTGTTTCTTCACAACAGTGCCAGAGCGCAGACTCACAGTCAGCATGAGAAGAAGCTGAGCTAGAGACAGCCCTGACTACAGGTGGTCGTGCTGTCAGCCTGCAGTGAGGTGCAACGGGAGAGAACAGCTCTCAGAACCGCAGCAAGATTCGCCACGAGATTCAGGCATCCAGCTCAGAACAGGCTTTCTGCAAAACTTTCTGCAAAAAGAGTGAGTTATAAGCAGAGAGGAGGCTGTTCTAGTGGTAGCTTCCCTTTGTGTGCTTTTTTCAATTCTGGTTTCCTAGTATCAGTACTAAAACACGAGTACTGAGCGTACATAAAAATAAGTTTCAAATGTAAATTCACAGATGGAAATTTAAGAATAAGCTATGGCACAGAAGCAGTACTAACGCTTCAGTGCATTAATAAATACAGGACTTCAAAGTATGTTATTTTCATTTTGGTAGCATTTTTGATCTTCTGCTCCTCTAAGCAGCCCAGTAAATTTGTGTCTCTTTTCCCACTGAGCAGACTGATAAAGCTGAGATCTCAAGTTTCCAGTACAAGTCGTATTTCTAGGCTTAATCGTGGCATTGACATCAAGGCACTGTTATACACTCTAATTTTTTTTTTTGCAAGCTATAGGCAGAACTGCATAAGCTAAGAAAAAGGACATACTATAATCTGTCTGAGCTAAAAGGTTTTTTTAAGTTGGCGCATCAGTGTTATTTTTGTACCCCTTTTCACAGAAAGTGCAACTCCTGAAAGCATAACAGAAGTAAATCAGTGTAAAACAACCAGTAAAAGCTTAAAAAAAAAAATCTAAAAATTAAAAAAGCATAGCACAGGAGAGTTCTGAACAGGTAAAGAATAACAATGGATGTTTAAAAAAATGTCTGTTTGTTATCCCCTAGGAAGGGCTGTCCAAGTGCCTAAGAAGCAGCAGTTTAGGACTGGAGATTTAGGAGTCCAGAAATCCTTCAAAGCATTAAACTATGAACATAGATTTTTCTCTTACTTAGGTCTGGAATCACTCCCCCTCACAAGTCAATAAAGAGAACTTGTTCCAGGGGAAAATTCAAATCCTCGGTGGGCAAAAATCAGCATTTTAAGATGTTTATCTTTCTTCAGTCTTGATAACAGAAATAGAACAAAACTCTCAGACTTCAGCAACTCATGTAAGTCGTGAGGTATCTGGGGCCTTACTCTAAGAAGTATAAAAGGATTTAATGAAAAAGAAATGTATTTGTTTCCAGAGTACCATGGCAAGGGACATAATATGTTCAAAACTTAATTACAGAGTGAGGCCTACAAAAAGCAATCCAATATTTGGTAGGCAGTTATTAGTAAGCCCTGTCAGAGCCATCACCTCTCATGCTTAATAATACTGTGCCTAAACACAGAAGAATGAAAATATGTAAAGAATTCTCTTTAAAAAGGAATCAGAAAGCAGGGGTCAGCCTTCAGATTTCAGACTGGCACTCAAGAACAATGTAAGAGCACCAAGAGCAGCCTCCGAAGAACCTTCTCTCTTTGACAAACCATACTGTAATTACGTGCAACTTACTCATCTCTGACGGGAAGAGTGATGCATATAGCATTTGGGAACATCTCTAACTGCTGCCAAGGAAGCTTCACATATTCGTACTGCAGCTGCCCTTTGCCTCAGTAAAGCTCACCAGTTTGGAGACTGCACAGCTACCTGCTAGTTATACATCAGTTTTAATTTATATAAAACCAGGCGATGTGTGCTAACATAGAGGGGTTTTCTATGAATTTTGAGCCATGTTCAAAACAATAAATTTTAGGCATATCAAAAAGTCCAACAGACAGGCTGTCAGCAATCATGCCTATGTCAGAAATTTTGTGTATCAGTTCAACTGTAAGCAGAATCGGATCAAACAACACATAAACATGCTGATAATGAGGAAATGCAGAAAGGGTAAAATTCATGAGACTCTGTTGTGACAGAAAGCTTGTAGCTATTCCTTCTAGTAAACAAATCTGATTTTGATAATAATGATAAAAAAAGGAATAAAATTAAGTATAACTTCATAGTTATACTTAAATACTATAACTATTTAATGTGTATTCTAGAAATAGTCCAAGTAAAAAAACGGCCAACACTTTATTCTTTCAAAATTTTCATGCTTTTCCTGACATTGCCTGGACTTCTATTTTTTCCTGACTAAAAAAGGAATTTATAATTTTAAAAACAATTTTAATTTCAATTATTGAAAAACAGTTGTTACTAATTTCATGGCTCCATGTAAATGTTTCATAGCAATTGTAAATACTAGCTGCTACCAGAAGAACCAGGAAGCCATGTGCAAAAGGTGTATCTTGTTACGGCTTTATTCTGCATAAAATCAAAGTTGACAATGAATCTGGGAAAATCTATACTTTCTTAACACATATGAATACAGCAGAAAAAATAATGAAATAGATAATAAGACACAAGATATACTCACCATTTGTATTTCTTCAGGTGACAGCTCATCTTCACCTTTGCTGTCCCCCCATAATCCAAGGTTACTCTGGGCATCAGGCAGATTCCTGTCTGTGAAAGAACCACCAAACACTTCAGACAACGGAGGACACTGAATAGTGAAGTGAAAGTAATTTTCCATCCACTTCAGAACCCTGATGAAATTGTTACATCTCATTTGTCATCAACTGAGATTCACCCTATATTTACAGCACAAAATTACACCGATAACATTTAACTTCTAAACTGGGACACCAGTCTACGCCTATGTTTCATTTTGTGAACTACAAGGAGTTGTACCAATGTATCGACAATGAAGGATGTAAAACAACTCACAATGCAGTTAAGACTTGCCAGGGCACAAAATACTGTAGCATTTGTCTTTTAACAGAAGAAAACACACAATTTTCAAAACGACAGTTTATATGCAAACTATTGTCTTCCAGGGAGACCTGACAGAACCACCAGCTCCCCATCCCAAAAAGTACAAACAGAATCTCCAAGACATTTTGAGCAAAGTTCACAGGACAAACTATTTCCTCACGCTGTTCAAACTGCATGCGACACCACAAATCCCACAGCACGCTGTGCAAGGGGTCTTCCTGCGCGTCACAGGAATCAGACCAGATCCCACAAACTAATAACCCTTACAGCTCATAGCTGCTTCATTGGCTTCAGTAGTACTTCCCCTTTGATTAAAGCTAATCATCTGCATAAATCTTAGCAGGAGTTGGGCATAAAAGATCTTGAATGGCTATTTCTGGGACATTCGCTTCTGGTAGATTTATTTTTAGGCTTAATTATATACTTCTGATTATAGACAAAGAAGTTAGAATTGGAAAGAAAAGGAACTATGCTACAGGAACCTACTGCTTCTGAAGCTGTTTGAGCATCAGCGTGTAAAATCCTAACAAACAGACCCTTGAGAAGGCCTCTCTTCTCTCCGCTGGCTGTGATGTTCTTACAAAACCCAAAAGAGAGATTTGTACCACCCCACAATGGATCAAAGCTGAACCTTCTTGGACTTAGCAGGTGCAATTTGCAAATTAAAATACAGAAAGACTTAGTTTTTACTTTTTTCATAGATTTCAGACTTCCTCCTTATCCCAGTCAATTTTTTCAGGCATTTGTAAGTATTTTCTTTTGTTTTGTTATAACCTTCTAAACCTCAGTTTTTTCAATTGCATAAGCAGCACTGATGCATCATCATACAGACAGTGACTTCTCTTGGGAAGCCTCTGAAAGGAACAGTCCTATTCATAAACAAATATAAGAAAAGTATTATATGCAGCAATTTCCTCTCTTATTCTTCATGATAATATTTGTGAAAAGTCTTGAAAAATAAATATTTTTGTGTACACCTCCTTTATAAATGTACATTTTGCTTCCCAACAACCAAACCAGGATGTACAATGACAATGTTACAAATGAGGGATGTGGATAAGGAGTATAGTAAATTAAAAAACAAAACAAAAATGAACAAAAAAGAGATCTGTTCTTTCTTACAAGTAATAAGAAATGAAAACAAGAATATCTTTAGAGATTGTTCAGAAAGGTGCAACTCCATGTTTTACAGGGGCTATCACCAGTATTTCAAGTCTGTTTCACAGAAGCACAAAACTTATTTGTTTAGGTAATCAATATGTTTACATTATATCAAAATTACAATGAATTATTTACTGGATTCAAAGAAAAGAAGATAATTAGTTTATGGAGTGAAGAAGTAAGTCCTATTCCTATTTTATCCCAGAGGAACCAATTACTTTCAGGCACTGTCAGCACTGATAAAAAACCAGCACCTGTGTCCAATGTGATTGCTAATAAGCAAATACACTTCTGGTGGGAGGTGAGGGAGAAACACGTATCTCCCCAGGGCTCCTCCTGTCACTGCAGTATGCTTCTGGCAACTGGGAAAGTTGTTCTGCAGCTTTCATGGAGCTGGCGTTAATGCTTTTCTACAGTTCATCCAGCAAAAGCCAAACTACACTCCTTTGCAGAAAGAGAAGTAGTTAACACACAACAGAGATAGAAAGTAACGATCAAATCCTCTGAACCCTTTCCATGCTGAAAGGAGACAGCTGCTAAGCTTGTGGACCAGTTCAAAAACTACTCTTTATTTACATTTATTTCCATAAATTAAATGTCAAATCTGTAATATGCAAATAAATACTGTCAGCAGATAAAAGCAATCTCCAGAGAGACTATTTTCCTACCATGAGGCATGTCCAGTATAATTCTAATGTAAACAGGTGCTTTGCCTCAAAACAAAAGTAAATCACATTTTGCTTTGATTTCTGCCAAAAAAACCAGACAAAATCCAAGTTGTGCTTCAGCACGCCAAGAAGGACATTCAGCTGTTCATCCTAACATTCAATTTAAGGACAGGACCACAAGCTGCTCTCAGAAGAACTATCTTTACAGCTGAGATATTTATGCAAGGGAGCCAGGCACACTGATGATGTCTAATTCATAAATACAAATGATCACCATTCTCTAAACCACCAACATCCTGAGGATGAAATAGCTTACTTCTAAACACAGTAATTTCTCAGATTTCTTAAAAATTTGAAAGCTTACTTGTAAAAAAAAAAATTATCAAAGGCTACAACATTTAAACTGAGCTTCTTGTTTCCTAGTCATCTCGTTCATACTACTCCCATGCTTCAACAACCACCTACCAGCAAAGTCAGGGCTGGTTTCTACAAGCAGCAGCAACCAACACTTACACGAAGAATCACAGTCTGTGTGCATTCACAAAGTGTTTCAGACAGATTTATTTTGATATACAAGTTTCATAGCTTTCTCAAAGACTAGTCAGCAATCCCTTGTAAGTATTACATCAGCATCACTTATGTGACAGGACCCTTATAAAAAATTAAAGCATAAACTAATAAAAGTGAAAACTGTAGTAACCAAAATTAACGTGCAAGAAATCAAGCTTCATTTCCATTTATTGCAGTGGTTTGCTGTGTCCAAGGCAACCAAAGAACAGTGTTTTCCACGGCGTGGCACAGATTTTTGGAGCTAAAAATTGCCATGACACTAAGTGATGGGAGTGCACACTTTCAGAGATCACGGAGACATTCAGTAACGGGGGAAGAGCACAGGGCAATGAAGATGCTACTACGCTGCTGCTCCTCTGCTGGCACTAGCTCACAGCTGCAAAACACTGATAACGTGCTAAGGTGAAACTCAATCTGTGTGCTGCACCACTTCAGACACACTACAAAAACACAGTAAGCACTAGAAATGACACATAATCAAAACCTTTACTTCTTACCATAAATTCAATGTCGGGGGGTTGGGAGGGGGAACACATACTGATAGGGCTGCAGAAGTACAAACTGGTTAGGAAGATAAGCGATGCCGTATGAGAAAATGAAACCATTCGCATGCTGTACGGTAATTCAGTGTTAAGAGTCTTCATCCAGAAATGGAGTACCCACTTCACGTGAATCTACCCTTTCTACAGCCCTAAAGTCACCAACCAGAGGAACTTCACTCTTCTAATAAAAATCACCAAAGAAACAATAACTGATTAGCAGAATAATATGGCCATCCAGTGCATTTCTTCTACCTTGATGAAGTACTATCCTAATGTAATGTCACACTTCATACAGATTCTTTTTCTCTCCAAACATAATTTTCACACTGTAAATCACAGGGTACCTTGGACTCCTCTAGACAGCACAAGCAGGAGAACCCAAGCCAGGGAAAGCAACTCCGGAATCACAGAAACAAGACTTCTCTTTAAGTATGCAACCTTAAATTATCTGCATAGTGGTGGTACCCCAAAAGGCACTCAGCAAAGAAGTTCTGCCAACGTACACATCCCAGGACAAGTCTCCCGAAACAGCAAAGAGAAGGGACTGACATTCCCCAGCCTCAGAAGCAGGCCACCAAGGAAACAGAAGCAACGCTCACAAGTCCTGTCAGGAATAGCACCAGCTGAAATGACCCTAGGGTCAGAGATACTGCTTTGGACTTCTGGTTCTCCTGTCCACCAAAAGATGAGATGCAATCCTTCCAGTAGGGAAATACAATGCTGTGGAGAAGAACATCCCCAAAACTACTAGATCTGGCCAGCCAGTAACCTCCCCTCTATCAGCGTATTCTACCTTCAAGTTCCTGCTGTAGAGGTGTCCAACTCAAGGTCTCTGTGCTTAAAAACTAGAAAATGTTCCCAGGAAGTTGTAGAGCTACTTTCCAACTCCTTGCCGTCAGTGAACGGCATGTGGAAAAGTCAGACAGATGTCAGAAGATGTACAAGTCGATAGATATTGATAAAAATAAAAAGGAAAGAGTTCACATAGAGTTTATTGAGAGGATGAGGAATCCAGCAAGGCAGAAGACCTTTTTAGCTAGTTGGAAAAAAAGGATGTCAAAAAGTTTAAGATTTTGCTTCCTCAGTCCTACAATGTGCTTCACACAAGCCCTGATCAACTCAAGGAAGATGAAAATAGAAAGGTGCAAGGTACAGGCCCTTGTTATATGAAGAAAGTACTATTGACCAGGCACGCCTTGCCACAAAAAGTAAAATATAACTACATTTTATTCTTACCTTTGCTTTCCTCAGCAGAAAGTTTTTCTTCAGAATCATCTAAAGGATTCTGTGAAGATTTTTCAGGGGAAAGAGGCGATTTGGACACGTTGCTCTGCTCAGGTTCAAGCCTGGACCTAGAAGCACAAGAGCTTCACACATTTAACTGATATTACACAGTTGAGTTTCTCTAACATGAGAACAACCAGATTATTAAATTCAACACTAACTCTTGCAAACTTCACATTAAGAATTTCCCAATCAAGATACAAAATGTACTTAGCAACTCTGACTGAAATATTAATACAAAAGCAAAGAAAGCACCAATAGTATTCCCGAACAAGGCATACTACATGTTCAGAGTTGAGGAGAATTTTAAAGGCTATAGCATAAAACCAGACATCTTATTAAACTTCCTTTCAAAAATCCAGTGTATTAAAATACATATATATTTAAAAAAAAGAAAAAAAACCAACCAACCAATATTTTGGTCATACTGAAAATTCTTTTTAGTAGAAACAGCCAACATCACTACTTGATTTTTTTCAAGTAATAATTACGATTTTACTTTATATTGTGAATTACCATAAAGGAAAAATAAGAAAACACAACAGAATTAGCTTTTTCCTGAAACAAGAATTTTTATTTAACTAGCTTTAAAGAATAGTTTAACCAGGATGAAAGTGATCCTTACCTTGTCTGCCAAAAGGCACAACAGACCATTCAGAAGCAAGAAAAACTTATGCAGTGGACAGATATATACTACACCTAAGTCCTTGCTATGTAATTTTAATACAAAGGCAATGGCAAAAAATGAGAAGCATATTCAGTGATTATATATTAAGTACTTGTCAAGTACTTTTCATTGTGGCACCAAAAAAAGTTTAAAATCGGTAGCAACATATTTTTTCCAGTTAACTTTTTTGGTTTACTGTTGTCTACAATGAATTCTGTAACTGCTATGTAGTAGACAGTTAAATGCTTAGCAGTTACACTGTTAGAGGAGCTAAATAAAAAAAAAAACTAAAAAGCAATGGGCTGAATCACCTGCTGTGTCACCTTCACCACTTCTTCCCCTCTCAAATAGAATCAACACTTAATCTCATTATGATCTGCAATCTTCCCCTGCTGCTTAACAGAAGGTGTTGCATTTTGTGTTCCTTTCCTTCTTCGTATTGTGTCTAAATTCTAAACCCATAATTAGAAAATTCTGAGAAAAACAGAATATAATGCATTAGTCATCACTGAGTGACTTATTTAAACAAGAAAAAAAGTAACAGGGAACCTTTCTTAGTCCCAAAAACTCTGCAAGTACTGGGCCTTTGGTAATTTTACAAATCTCCTCCCTCTCAAGTCCCAAATTTGCCTAATAACAATGAAAAAAAGACTTATCTGGATGTCCATGCAGTTCAAATAATAGTTCTGATACTAATAAAGTACCAATTCCCCATATAATAAAAATATCAGCTTGATTTGAGCAATTGCTAACATAATTCACAACACATTCTAATGGAAAAAGAAGATTAAAATTGAAATTAAATATAATTTTGAATACCAATAAACATAAAAACTGAAAATCACAACAAAGTACCTTTACAAAAAAAGCTGCTTGAGTTTCTATTCCCCGACCTTTCTTTCTGGGGAACTAGTCCTTTGTAATTCTTGTAATGTTATTACAGAAAGGCAACATATGTAAGAAAATTGTAACAGGCAATTTCTTGAAGAGCTTAGGATGTTTCTCAATATAAAGGGAAACATGATGAAGTATCTTTCTACCGCAAACCTTTCAGTATTGTCTGATATGCATGTATTTTAAGTTGACTAAATTGCAGGAAAGAAGATCTGCACTAAGATTAATTTACTTTTAGAGAAATATATTCCTTTATTGTTTGTTGTCCTTACTTTGCACAGTATGCTAATGTATGAAGTTTTCAATTAAAAACAAACAAAATGCCTGGGATGCACTATTTAAAGAAAGCCTCGTTCTTTTAAGTGATAGAACGTGTTCTTATTATTGCATAGAGAGTCTGCTGAAATCCTTGGGGAAATTACAAATCAACTAGTTGAAGGGATATGAAAAAAGGCAATTTTTCTTCAAGTCATCTAGAAGATTGGTTTATGCCCTGTACTTTAAATTGAATTTTAATTTAAATTACAATCTAGCTATTGCATCACATCTGCAATGTCTACAGACTCCACCTGTTTTCTAGTTCTTACATCTGTAAGAAGAGGCAAACAGGTATCCTTCAATATTAAATAAAAGGACAGTATCCTCTGGGTAATTTTTTAATGCCTTACTGCTCTTTATTTAAGTGGTATTCTAACTTCTCAGATCGCTCTTTCATTGTTCCATGTTTAGCATACATCAAATTGAGTTGTTTGCTGTTCAGTCATCTGAGAAATCCTGAACCTGGGATTTCACATGGAAACAACAACATAAGAGCACAACAGCAGAAGAACTGGTAGTTGTCAGCCAATTCTATAACTGCAGGAACCATGCTATCTTTCTTTGAAGTTCTTTAGTGTGAAGAATACTGGTAAGGTTATGTATTTTTACACATGAAAAATATCACACAGTTTGTTTCTGTATGTTTTTTCTGAGAAGTTACGGGAATTACAAAAAACCCGACACCTTACTTTTCACTCATTGCTTCTCACCAAATCTCAAACTGGTTTGGGGTATTTTGTTTACTTGGTTTTGGCTTGTACTACTGTATGTCTCAGGAGGATACATTTGAATGAATCTAATTGTCCTTAATCATGCTGAATCATGCCGAATAAAATGTACTGGTGGACTTCTGAAGACATCTCTCTAGTTTCAATGTAAATAGCTGATCAAGCCAAACACCAAACTGGTAAAGCAGCATCAAGTCTTGGAAAAACAATCAAGAATTTATTGATGTGTATGTTCTAGAATTTGCTTTAGCAGAAAGATAGTGACTTAAAAAAAAAAAAAAAAAAAAAGACAAAAAGAAGGATAACAGGAGAGAGGAGTGAATATCTCTTGTACCTAAACAGACAATATCCTAAATAGCATCTTTGAGACATATCACCAATGTGCAGGATTTAATTCTAAATTATTTTATGCAGAATATTAGTTAATAGGACACACAAAAATATTCTGTTGTATTTATAGAAGTCCAGTAAGTTTATTAGCCCACACTTTACTGATTTGGTGCTTTAATCATTTACATAAAGGAGAAGTACAACACTATATTGGCACTCTACCATTTACAGACTTAATTTCACGTGCCAGAAGTGAAAAAGAGCCCTGGAATGCACCTGCTGACACCTGAGCAACAGACACAGTTGCTCATCCAACTACCGATTTCCATTAAAAGAATCTCCTTAGAATCTAAATATGAATAATAATTTTGTTGAATGTCCTACAAATGAAAGGCACAGTTAAACTATTTTTTGACACTACTCACAGTCTCTTCTTATCTATCACTCGCTTAACTCGGATGGCTCTTTGTTCAGAATACAGCTTGCACACTCCTGTTCAAGAGAGCAGTAAACAAAACTTCAGGTCAGAAGAGCACAATTTCTTTCTTGGAAAACACAATTATTCATTTTTAACCATTCAATAAATACTAAGTACTTTTTAAGTAATCTTCAATGAAGTCCAAGACAGCTGTTCTGTGCTCCTTTACCTGAGCAGACTGGACACCCTTGTGTGCTGAAACACAAAAGAAAGATAACACATAATCTTTTAACTTTTTACTGAATTGCACAAAAGTTTGCATTTTCAGTTGATAGGCAAGTCATTCAAGAGCCTATTCACACTTTATATATGTTATATATAACTATTTATTTTAGACAGTTATATTTAAATATAGGTTCTGTAAAACAGCAAATCATTACAATAGCCCAAAAGCTGAAAACAACTAGTTTCTTACAATACTTATGCTATTAATTTGTTGTATGTGCCACTGAGTCCTATTACGTCAATTATATTGCTGAACAAGAATAGATGTCACCAAGCTAAGCAGAGCAAAACAGAACTAGAAATTTAACTTGCTTAGAATATTGAACTCCTAACATTTTAAATTCTCCATTGTGGAAGTCTTTGGGATTTATTGTGTCAAGTGTCCTGTTAATTCACATGTTAATATTTCTTATTTTGATAGTACGCAGTTCCCATGCATGACTGATTTCCAATGATTCCGAATAATGCTACAACTATGTTTAGATGGCATTTCAAAGCTGGTGAAAATATTTGGTATATTCATAAAGCAGACACACAGAGCAAGTCAACTTGAAAATAGCAAAAGAGAAGTTCTCTCTCTAACTTTCCTAAGATCATGTTATAAAGGTATGATCCCATACTCAAGTTGTCAAAACTGCTGTTGCTTTATTAGAACTCTGCTACAAAGTTATTTAATTAGCTCAAACTTGGAAAGATTATACTTGTTTAGGTCCACCTTACAGGTGGACAGGTTAGAGAGAGAGAGAACCATTGAATTTAGTGAGCTTCAGTTCAGGCCTCTGTGCCACAGTTCTAAGTTATCATTCAAGTAGTAAATATTTAAGACTATCTTTTTTACAGATATTCAAGTAAATATTTAAGACTATCCTTGCTAAATAGCGTATATGAACAAATAAATAAAATTTCATGCTCTGGCTTCTCCTTCCACTAACATTAAAGAAAATCAAGTACGGTACTAAGCAGCCAATGGGATCATACAGATGCAAGCGAAACGGCAGTGAGACTTCACCAATGTCTTTCCAAAAGCACTTCAGGTTCAGCATCTAATATGCAGCATTATATTAGCCTTTATCAATAACTAAGAGTTGTTCAGTTTACCTTCTGTTCTCAGCTGATGGATGGCATCAGCACACGTCCTCATAAAAATCTGAGCATCTTGATCTATTTGATCGCGCTCTGTATCCGTCATCCTCACATACTCAGACATAATATGGCTGAGGAACAAGACAAAGCATGACTTAAGAAATCCCCAACATAAAACCTACAAGTACACATTTTAAACCTTCTGCCCACTCACCATCCTCACAGAAGCTTTTCTGCAATACTGACTTTTACAGAAAAAGTAGTAAAAAGTACAACAACCACCACTGATAAAAATGCCACTTCTGTAAAGCTGAGAGGTGTTAAAACTTTTTTTGACTAGTAAAAGATGTAGAAAAAGCAATATATGCTATCACCTCATACATAATCAAATACTGAGCAGATAAGGAGAAAATACATCATTAACCTCGGTAATTGTTCCAGTGAGGCATATTTCAAGTCTAAAACCACGAAAACAAGTAGGAATAGCTCAGGTATTGAAAGAAGTAAAAATACTGGAACTTATTTTACTTAAATGTATGTTTTCATTATCCTAAATACTGAGCTTCATTTTTAAAGTAGCTGTCCTAGGAAATCTGTGAATTCAAACCATAGTAAAGAAGAATATTGAAAAATAATGCATTTTAATATCAAGTCAATTATAAGATTTATTGAAGCCTGTTCCTATTGTTTGTTTCTATTTTAGATTACAGATTGATAACTTAATATTTTCTATTAGGATTAATATATCTTTTTGTTATTAAATTAATAAAAATGGAGGCCCGTCTGTAAATTATTAGCACATTGTAGATCACCACCAGAAAAGCATGCTGTATAAAAGTATTTAACAGTGTTTCCACAGCCACAGATGACAGGATGATAAAACTGCTACAGCAGCTTATCTTATGTTCATCTTGGGTTTCCTGATGATACAGTTATCACAGCCTACCATATCTGCCTTTAAAATGAGGGTATGAGTTAGGGTTTTCTTTCCTGTTTGTTTTTACTTATGTGTGAAAATCTCCCCACCTGTTCAAAGTATGCATAATGCAACTATATTAATGCAGTAATACAAGTAAAAAGAAGGGATCTTCAATTTCCAAAGCTAGCCTGATACCTTTAGACATCTCTTACGTACTTCACCGCAACAACACCACATCTTCCCTGTGTCTGCTGCGATCCCTGCCATGGGAATGCCTATAACCAATTCACATCGCCCCATCTGATCATCTCTCATCACATAGAAACCCACCAGCTCCTTCCTGCATCTTCAGCATACTGTCAGCCTGGGTCTCCCAGATCTCCTCCACAAAGTCTTAAGCTTACTCTAATGTGCCTGGGTACCAAAACGTCTTCATTCCCATCCCATGTGACTGGCTGCGCATGAAAAAAGCAGCACATGGTTCAGCTGGCTTGAAACTCAGTTTCTGCTGACTAGCCAGCTAGCACACAGGCACAGATTAGCCAGCAAACAATAAGGCAAACTAATTACAAGTAATATTCTGTATTTTACTTGTTTGTTTCCAATGCTGCCACATATTTGACATCTAAACATCAGGATTTTTCCCCTCTCGTTAAAACTATTCCAAATATTGTAAAATAACCTACAGAAAAGTGGCCATGTATAGTGCTTCCATTTATATTTTACTAGCTGAATTGCTCTCCCTTGGTCAGGACAGATGGGTTTCATAAATTTGTGGAAAAATCCCTATCACAACTGTAATCAGTGGTCTGCTAAGCTGCAACTCTAATTTGCATTCTCTGAGAAAGCAGCTTCTGAATGATGAAAGATTTGAAATAGTCTGATTTTAGAGACATCTGATGGAAAGGCTTTCCACAGCCTGGTTAAGATGACATGTCGATAGTTACATATGCAGTATAAGATAACTCAAATTGTTAAATATATTAGGACAGATCTCCCCCCCACTCCCTTTGCACAGCTTATACAGATGGGGCTTTTCATTACTAGTCTGTGGCATAGGCAAGTTCTCAGCATGTGTAAAGCCAGAAAATCCATTCATACATCCATCTCCGCACAGGCCCAGACAGAAGGGGACCATTAAGATCATCTGGTATGGGATAACACATAACATTGTTCAGCGATCCATGCCTAGAGAGTTACTTGAGCGTGTTAGGATTCAGATGGAAAATGAGGATGGAGTAACAGCTTCATGATGGCCCCTTGAAGCAAAAAAAAAAAATTCCACTCTTCCATTTCAGATCACAATAATAAGTTCTGGCTGGTCTGCTACTGAACAGAGTATAAAGTTCTTGTCCTGAGATGTCTAGGTTCTTGTACCTGCCCAGCTTTGTGGTATTCGCAGAGTTCTATGCTTTCAATGCACTTTTTAACATTACAGGGTAAATAAAGATTACAAAATGCAAACCAGAATTTTCTTCTAAATTGGACTTAGAAATACATACGAAAAAACCTGCCTCAGGCACGCTTTATTTTTTTTACTAACAGTGTAACTAGTAGTAACACAGTGATACACTGAGGATAATGTCAACAGCTTTAACATTGGGAACCAAGTTTTTCAGTTACTTTTCATAGTTGCTAATACAAAAATATGGTAAATCAAATTCTTAAATAGGAGTTTCACAGCTTCAAAAGTAGCAAAATGCAGTTTAATCCAGCAAAAAAGAAATAGAATACTTTTCCTTCCATAACTACTTACAGCTTACATAGTGTCTGGTACCAGCGCTTTTGAACAAGAGCTGGTCAAGCCCTTCGGAGGCAAGGATACCCAAAACCCAACCTCCTTGGGAAAGCAAGAATGGAGTCACACAATCACACCCCATTATGCCACCACACATACGGCACCCACTAGTACTAACAGGGTACTGAAGTCCCCGTTGCACTCCCCAGTAAATCTGTACATGGAGATCATACTGAAAGTCCATCTAATCACCATCCTCTAGCTTCACCATAACAAGAACCATTCATTTAAAAAGAACATGCCAAGGAAAAACAAAACCACAACAATCCCCCCAACCAACCAAAAAAAAAAAAAAAAAAAAAAAATCCAGCTACAAATATTTGCTCCAAAGTGCAGTGGTGGTATCATAGCAATGGGCTTATCCATCATTAATCAAGAAAGGTCAAAAGAACCAGGTTTTCAGAAGCATTAGTCAAGACACACACTGGCTAATGCATGCAGATAAAGAAGGGAGAAAGGGGGAACAGAAATTCTTCTGGGTTTTTATTCTAATCAATGGGAGAAGGCTTCATAAGAAACTCAGACTGGAAGGCAACTTGGGCTATTTATGATTTTTAAGAAGACGGGTAAAGATAAAGACAGTGGCCATCAAGTAGGCAGACTCCAATAGTCTAGACAGGTTAAATTGCATAGAAACAGGAAACCTAATGTCATGGTTTAACCCCAGCCGGCAACAAAGAACCACACAGCCACCCGCTCGCTCACTCCCCCCACAATGGGATGGGGGAGAGAATCCAAAGGGTAAAAGTGAGAAAACCCATGGCTTGAGATAAAGACAGTTTAATGGGTAAAGCAAAAGCCACGCACGCAAGCAAAGCAAAGCAAGGAATTCATTTTCCCTGCTTCCCACCAGCAGGCAGGTGCTCAGCCATCCCCAGGACAGCAGGGCTCCATCACACGTAACGGTGACTTGGGAAGACAAACGCCATCACTCCAGAAGTACCCCCCTTCCTTCTCCCACAAGCTCTATATGCTGAGCACGACGTCATATGGTGTGAGATACCCCTGTGGTCAGTTGGGGTCAGCTGTCCTGGCTGTGCCCCCTCCCAGCTTCTTGTGCCCCTAGCAAAGCTGAGGGCTGAGAAGTCCTTGGCCAGTCTAAGCACTACCCAGCAACAACTAAAACATCTGAATGTTATCACCCTGATTCTCATCATAAATCTAAAACACAGCGCTATGCCAGCTACTGTGAAGAAAATTAACTCTGTCCCAGCTGAAACCAGGACACCTAAAGAAGAAGAAAAAAGAATTCAGGTGAACTAGTAGTTTTTCTATAGAAATGACATTATGATAATTTGCAAGTCTGCCCTTGATGAAAGGGAAGAATAGGCAATGCGGTAAGAGATCAACTCAGCTACTTCACGAGCTCTTCACTGAGCTCAAACACAAGAAGCAGAATACAGCAAGTGCAAATTAGGTCTGATTGCTATTGACAAGTCTAAGGGAACACAGCATGTAGGGACGCGATCAGAAAAAGGTCAAGGGCAGGATGAGACACAACCAGCAAGGGATGCCAATGATAAGAAGAGATTACTCTGCAAATATTACTAAGAGAAACACCTAAAATAGGAAATGCATCAAATGGAATGTTGTATCCTCACTGCCAAGAACTAGGGGAGAATAAGTGAGTACGAGGTCGATGAAAAGATGAAGTGTAGCAACTATCTTTAAAAAACAGGGTTAAGAAAAAAGAAAAAGCAGAGGACTTACAGATCACTCAGCCTAGGAAAATACAGGAACAAAATCAAACAATTTTTAAGCGCTTAGGAAAGGACAAAAAGATAACCAGTAGCCAAGATGTATCAAGAACAAGCCATATGCGATGTAAGTTACTTCTGGGATGCAGTAACAGGACTTATGGATGGATGAAAAGCAATCATTGCTATACATCTTCTCTTCAGTGTGGCTTTCATTACCATCTCGCATGACATTCTCATATGCTACCAGCAAATAAATGAATTAGAAGAAACAAGCACCATATGGATGTGAAACTGTTTGAAAAGCTGAATGTGGAGTAGTTATATACCATAACAGAAGGACACACCGAGTTGTGTTCCACAGGGGTTTGTCCTGAATCTGATGCTATTTAATACTTTCATTAACAACTCAGACAGTAAAATGGAGTATACACTTATTAAATTTGCAGAGGCAAAAAGCTAAGTGAATTAAAACTATCAAGAGAACAAGACTTCAATTCAAAACAATACTGTCAACTCGGAGAAACAACATGAAGAATTTGAATAAGGAATGGTCAGAGGCTCTTTGTTGCAGCAGGAACAACTATCTGAACCCACAGAGAATGGGGAACAGTTCTTCAGAAAGTCACCTGGGATCATGTCGGTTCATAAACTGAACATAACAAAAACATGTTGCATAAAAAGGCATCATTACAACAGGATGCATAAATGCAATAC